ATATTATATACTGTTCGAATAGCATATTTTGTCTCCCTTGTGTTTTTTTTAAATGTTTTCTTTCCTAGTTGATTAACCCAATTGATCAAGTTACATGATTCCACTGTAAATTTGATGACAACAATTATTAGGTCATTCCAATTTTGTTGTGTAACCTATTGCAAAATATTCAACTTTTTATTGTTTATTGTGTAGCAATTTTTTAGAACTTGTGGTATTTTTTAATAGCAGATTTTTTAGATCATATATACCCTCCCTTTTTTATTTATTTGATTATAATTGTTGCTTTGTATTCGTGACAACAGAACCACATTGTTCCCTAACAACTATCCATAGAATTTTAATTTGTCATTATCTTTTTTATATATATCTTGGCATTTTTTCACATAGGTCAACTCAATTCAATCTAATAAAAAGGTTTGATTTGTGTGTGTGTCTATATATATCTTATTCTTGGTAATAACTTGTTTCCTAAGTTTTCTTAATTAAGTCATGATTTCTTGACAATATTTTGTGTCTTTTAATTTGTTGGGATAATAACTTCTTTTTTTTTTTTTTTCAAAAATGTTAGTCTTGAATATATTTATCCAAAAAAACATTTATGTTAGGTATCCTTTTGACATAAGAATTTTATCTTACTAACTTTATTTTAAGTGATTTTTTTTTTTAAAAAAAGAAATAAATAAATCTTGTTCCGCGGGATTTTTTTGCTTTGGGTTAACTTTATTCCAAGAGTATTAATTTTAATTGGCTTTTCTCAAAAATTTTAGATGACATTCGCTCTAACAGTTTATAAATTTTGTGTTAATTATAGGTGGCTTCTGTTACAAGAGTTTTATTTTATTTTATTTTATTATTTTTCTTTTGACCACCTTAAGTGATTTTTGTGTTAACATAGGTGACTCTTGTGACAACTTTAGGTGATTTTCGTGACAGCTTTAGATAACTTCTGTAACAGTCCAATGTGACTTCCGTGACAATCCAAGATGACTTCTGTAACAGTCCTACTTGACTTCTGTAACGGCCCAAGCAACTCAAGGTAACTTTGGTAACAACCCTAGGTGACTTCTGTAAAAGCCAAATGTGACTTCTGTAACAACACTAGGTGACTTCTGTAATAACCCTAGGTGATTTATGTAACAACCAAGGTGATGTCTATAACAACCCAAGGTGACTTTTGTAATAGCTCAAGGTGACTTCTGTAACAGTATTAGGTGACTTCTATAATAGCCCTAGGTGATTTCTATAATAGCTCAAGGTGACTTCTGTAACAGAATTAAGTGACTTCTGTAATAGCCCAAGGTGACTTCTATAACAACCCTAGTTGACTTCTATAACAACCAAATGTGACTTCTGTAACAGGCCAATGTGGCCTCTATAATTGCACTAGGTGACTTTTGTAATAGCACTAAGTGGTTTCTGTAACTACTCCAGGTGACTTTTGTAACTAACAGCTTAAGGTGACTTTTGTAACAGTCATAGGTGACTTCTGTAACAACCCAATGTGATTTCTATAACAGCCCAAGATGACTTATGTATTCTTGTATTGCTACTATTATTATTATTTTATTTACCCTTATTTTTTTTATTGATAGCATTAAGGTTTCTTATTATTATTATTATTATTTTCCTCAAGTTATTATTTGCTTTCTTTCTTTTTTTTTTCTTGTTATGATTATTATTATTATTATTTTCAGATGGCCTCCTCTCAAAAAGCCAAATCAGAAAAAATTATCAAAATTTCAAGTCAAAGAAAGAACTTACCTTCCGATGAGTGGATTGCAAAGTCAGTGGATCCAATTTTGAAAGGCAAAGTTTTGTGTTTTCCAACTGTTGTTTTAAAGAACTATAGAACCTACAGAACCAACAACCCTAGTTGACTTCTATAACAATCCAAGGTGACTTTTGTAACAACTCAATGTGATTTCTGTAATAGCACTAGGTGACTTTTGTAACAACCCTAGATGACTTTCTGTAACAGTTCAAGGCGACTTCTGTAACAGCCCTAGGTAATTTTTGTAACAGCCCAATGTGACTTCTGTAACAACGCAAGGTGACATCTGTAACAGCCCAAGGTGACTTCTATAATAGCCTAATGTGATTTTCGTAACATCCCTAGGTAACAGCCTAGGGTGACTTTTTTATTCCCCTTATTTATTTATTGATAACATCAAGGTTTATTTTATTATTATTATTATTTCTCAAATTATTATTTGCTTTCTTTTTTTTTTCTTACTATTATTATTTTTTTCAGAAGGCCTTATCTCAAAAAGCCAAATCGGGAAAAATTATCAAAAGTTCAAGTCACATAAAGAAATTACCTTCCGATAAGTGGATTGCAGAGTCGGAGGATCCAATTCTGAAAGGCGAAGTTTTGTGTTTTCCAATTGTTATGGTCAAGAATTATAGAACCAATGAGCTATCAACATTATCACTCAAAGTTCTTGAGCTCATGACTGGTCCCTACAGCCGGTCGAGAATAATCAATGAACCTAAAATTCATATGCCGATGATTAGTGAATATTTTTTGCCAGAAAACATGCACAAAAGTGACACGGTTAAGTCAGATCGACTACCCTTGCTTTGCAAGCCTTCATATCATTCCAAAGATCATCTTATTCCAAATTCGCTTGTTGATTTGATCAACTAGAGGATTGCAAGGTGGGTATGTTCATAGAACCCAAGGGGAGATATTCAATATATGAATGGGTTTTGGGAGTGGTCTTAACGAATTTACCGCAAGTTGTTAGACAAGGGTTTCGACAAATTTGCTTATGTTATTCATACAGTTTTTTTTGACTACTCTCGACCCAACAGTGTATATCGTGCCCTTTGTGAAGTTTGGTGTCCGCAGATGAAAACGTTGGTTATGGGCGTGGGAGAAATTAGAATCTCCCTTTGGAAAAGGCAACACATCACCGATCCTTCAATTCGTGGCGATGTTTTAAAGAAGTTATACCAAACCTGATTGACTTGAGAAACTCTGATAGTAGCGCTCTCCATGTAACTTACGTGCATTTGTTTAAGGATTTTTTCTTAATTAATAAGAAGAAAGGGGATAATCATCTTGGTCATTCAGATTGGCTAATTTTTGGTTTAAGGATGGTGCACGTGCTCCGGATCCTAAAAAGAACAAGACATATAAAGCAACCATGACAAATTGTTTTAAAAGGGATGAGAATTTTTTACAAAGTAAAGATTGATGAGACCTATTCAAGCAGAAATACAACTTATGAAGACAAAGGTCAATGGTGATGATCCCTTCATTCTTCTAGATCTTGACCTTGATGTCACAACAAGTGATGACTTGGAGATTGCAGTTTATTTAACTTTATGGCTATGTCGCTTTGTATTTCCTTCATCGAATTACGTTATTCATTCAACCATCTTTAAGACTGCCTCTCAAATGATTGCTGGAGTCACATATAACTTGGTTTCCCCTATTGTTGCAAGCATTTACAAAGGTCTATCTGAGACATGCAGCACCCGATATGACTAAAAGAACCTCGGGATGACTTCTTATGCTTTTTCAGGTCATTACTTTTATGCTTGGGCAGCATTGCATTTCCCTTGGGGAGTTTATGTTGAGGTTGATGAGGAGCTTGATCGTCCTTTGCTTCGATAATTTAGAGTTACATTGAATGCTTATCTTTTTTATGAGGAAGAAGTAAAAGGGTTTCGAGATCTTCTGCACAGAAGTGTGAGTTTCAGTGATTTTTGCTAGCAACTAGTTTTGTACTCTGGAAACCGAGGGCTTGGTCGCGATGATGGACAAAGATCAGATGAAACCTTTGAATTAATGACAAGTATGCGAAGTGGACACATCATGTATCATCGTGGGTCAGTTTGCATTCTTGAGATGTATAACCCACATCGCTTTACTAGGCAACATGAATTTTCATCAAAGATTGTCGAGTACTCCCTCAGACACATCGATAATTTTGTTTGATGCCTTTTTTTTATATTGAGCACGGTTGAGTTTAATTAGGATAAACAGTGGGGCAAGATTCCATGTCCTTAATAATTATGCTCAGATTGAGAATCAATGTGACAATAGTTACAACAACTGGTGGAAAGATAATGTTCTTCCACAGCTAGATGACATCAATTATAAAACCTTATTAGCTAGTGAATCTAAGAATTTCAAATTCAAAGCTCAAGATGATGGGTTGGAGAAGAGGAAAGCCCTTCCTACAATGCCTAAAACTCCTCTATGTCTTCGAAAATGGGACAATTCAAAGGATTGTTTGAATCCCTAAGAAGAAACAGTTCCCAAGATGTTGAAGTTCACAACACCTGTTTCAAGATCAGCTAATGTTCGATTTGCTCATCCTTTAACATCCTAGAGTCTGCTGAAGTGAGTTCGTCAAACGAATCTGATCATGCCCTCCTTTCATCCCATGATACTCAAATCGTAGAAGGATTCCAACCACAATTGTACCAATTGATAATCGTGATTCTACTTAATAGACAATTAAAGAGAGGTGCCAAACAAGAGTTACAGAAGCTGAGCATAATTTGGCTTGTGCCTGGTTAGAAGATGATGCAAATCATACCACTACAAAGTCTCCCATAGGTAGGGTTGACCCATATTGTAATGTTTTGAATGACTTATCAACTTTTTTAAAATTATCCCCGTGATCCCGCAATAAAGTTACTTGCAAAGTTTATCATTATTTTTTTATTATATATATATATATATATATATATATATATATATTCAAACCTTTTTTTAAGCTTTTCTTCCACTTCCAAATCTTGCCACATTAAATTCCATCCCAAGTATTTGTCTTGACAATTATATCATTTGAGTTTTATTTGATGACAACCATCAGACTATATCCATGTTTTCTGATTGGGGGGAGATTTTTCCTTTAGTTGATAGAGAAAATACCAATCCATGTGAAAGGGAAGTTAATTCTAAAAGAAACCATTCATGTGTTATACAAGCAAGGCACGAAGCTAAGAATCTCACCACTGTCGGAAAGCATGGATATGGTCTAATCGTTGTCATCAAATAAAGCTCCAATGATATCATTGTCAAGATTTTGGTCTTCACAAATACCTGGAGACAATTAAAGAGATTTTGGTCCAATCCAGTTGATAATCGTGGTTCTACTAAGTAGACAATTAAAGAGAGGTGCCAAACAAGAGTTACAGAAGTTGAACATAATTTGGCTTGTGCCTGGTCAGAAGATGGTGCAAATCATACCACTACAAAGTCTCCCACAGGCAGGGTTGACCCATCTTGTAATGTTTTGAATGACTTATCAACTATTTTAGAATTATCACTGTGATCCCGCAATGAAGTTACTTGCAAAGTTTATCATTATTTTTTGTTTGTTTATATATATATAATTTTCAAACCTCTTACTCTTCTTTTTTTTTTTAAAGCTTTTCCTCCACTTTCAGATCTTGACACATTAAATTCCATCCCAGGTATTTGTGGAGACCAAAATCTTGACAATGATATCATTGGAGCTTTATTTGATGACAACGATTAGACCATATCCATGCTTTCCGACAGTGGTGAGATTCTTAGCTTCGTGCCTTGCTTGTATAACATATGAATGGTTTGTTTTAGAATTAACTTCCCTTTCACATAGATTGGTATTTTCTCTATCAATTGAAGGAAGAATCTCACCACAGCCAGAAAGCATGGATATGGTCTGATCGATGTCATCAAATAAAACTCAAATGATATAATTGTCAAGATTTTGGTCTCCACAAATACTTGGGATGGAATTTAATGTGGCAAGATTTGGAAGTGGAGGAAAAGCTTTAAAAAAAAAAAGAAGAGTAAGAGGTTTGAAAATATATATATATATAAACAAAAAATAATGATAATAGTAATGAAATTTTGCAAGTACATTTATTGTGGGATCGTGAGGATAATGCTAAAAAAGTTGATAAGTCATTCAAAGCATTACAAGATGGGTCAACTCTGCCTGTGGGAGACTTTCTAGTGGTATGATTTGCACCATCTTCCGACCAGGCACAAGCTAAATTATGCTCAGCTTCTATAACTCTTGTTTGGAACCTCTCTTGAATTGTCTGCTTAGTAGAACCACGATTATCAACTGGTACAATTGTGCTTGGAATTCTTCCACGATTCAAGCCTATATCATGTTTCTTGAAAACACCCATGGACATACGGGATGAAAGGAGTGTATGATCAGATTCGTTTGACGAACTCACTTTAGTAGACTCTGGGATGTTTAAAGGATGAGCAGATTGAACATTAGTAGATCTTGAAACAGGTGTTGTGACCTTCAACATCTTTGGAACTGTTTCTTTTTGGGGATTCGAACAATCCTTTGAATTGTCCCGTTTTCGAAAACGTAGAGGAGCTTTAGGCATTGTAGAAAAGGTTTTCCTCTTCTCCAACCCATCATCTTGAGCTTTGAATTTGAAATTCTCAGATTCACTAGCTAATAAGGTTTTATAATTGATGTCGTCTAACTGTGGAAGAACATCATCTTTCCACTAGTTGTTGTAACTATTGTCACATTGATTCTTAATCCGAGCACAATTATTAAGGACATCGAATCCTGTCCCACTGTTTATCCTGGTTAAACTCAACTATGCTTGATATAAAAAAGAGGCATCAAATGAAATTATCGATGGGTCTGGGGGAGTACTTGACAATCTTTGATGAAGGTCATGCTGCCTAGCAAAGCGGTGTTGGTTAAACATCTCAAGAATGCAAACTGACCCACGACGATACATGACATGTCCACCTCGCATACTTGTTATTAATTCAAAGGTTTCATCTGATCTTTGTCCATCATTGTGATGAGGCTCTTGGTTTTCAGAATACAAAACTAGTTGCTAGCAAAAATCACTGGAACTCATACTTCCGCGCAGAAGATCTCGAAATCCTTTTGCTTTTTCCTCATAAAAAAGATAAGCATTCAATGTAACTTTGAATTGTCAAAGCAAAGGAGGATCAAACTCCTCATCAACCTCAACATAAACTCCCCGAGGGATATGCAATGCTGCCCAAGCATAAAAGTAATGACCTGAAAAAACATAAGAAGTCATCCCGAGGTTCTTTTGGTCATATCAGGTGCTGCATGTCTTGGATAGACCGTTGTAAATGCTTGCAACAATAGGGGGAATCAAGCTATATGTGACTCCAACAGTTATTCAAGAGGCAATCTTGAAGATGATTGGACGAATAACGTCATCCGATGAAGGAAATACAAAGCGACATAGCCATAAAGTTAAATAAGCTGCAATTTCCAAGTCATCATGTGTCGTGACATCAAGGTCAAGATCTAGAAGAATGAAGGGATCATCACCATTGACCTTTGTCTTCATAAGTTTTATTTTTGCCTGAATAGGTCTCATCAATCTTTGCTTTGTAAAAAATTCTCATCCCTTTTAAAACAATTTGTCATGGCTGCTTTATATGTCTTGCTCTTCTTAGGATCCAGAGCACGTGCACCATCCTTGAACCAAAAATCAAGCCAATCTGAATGAGGGAGATGATTATCCCTTTCTTCTTATTAATTAAGAAAAATTCCTTAAACAAATGCAGGCAAGTCACATGGAGAGCGTCAGTATTAGAGTCTCTCAACTCAGTCAGGTTTAGGATAACATCTTTAAAATATTCACAACAGATTGAAAGACCGGTGATGTGTCACATTTTCCAAAGTGAGATTCTAATTTCTCCCACACCCTGTAACAAACGTATTCGTCTGTGGACACTAAACTTCACAAAGGACGCGATATACACTATTGGGTCGAGAGTAGTCAAAAGAAGCTGCATGAACAACATAAGCAAGTTCGTCGAAACCCTTGTCCAACAACTTGCGGTAAATTCGTTGAGACCACTCTCAAAACCCATTCATTTATTGAATATCTCCCCTTGGGTTCTATGAACATCCCCAACTTGCAATCCTCTGGTTGATCAGATCAACAACAAGTGGCTTTGGAATAAGATGATCTTTGGAATGATATGAAGGCTCGCAAAGTGAGGGTAGTCGATTTGACTTAACCGTGCCACTTTTGTGCATGTTCTCTGGCAGAGAATATTCACTAATCATCGACATATGAAGTTCAGGTTCATAGATTATTCTCGAGTGGCTGCAAAGACTAGTCATGGGCTCAAGATCTTTGAGTGATAATGTTGATAGCTCATTGGTTCTATAATTCTTTACCACAACAGTTGGAAAACACAAAACTTTGCCTTGCAAAATTGGATCCTCAGACTCTGCAATCCACTTATCAGAAGGAAATTTCTTTTTGTGACTTGAAATTTTGATAATTTTTCTCGATTTAGCTTTTTGAGATAAGATCATCTGAAAAAAAATAATAAGAAGAAGAAGAAAAAAAGAAAGCAAATAATAATTTGAGAAACAAATAATAATAATAAAATAAACCTTGATGTTATCAATAAATAAATAAGGGAAATAAAAAGCCACCCTAAGTTGTTACCTAGGGATGTTACATAAGTCACCTTGGGTTGTTATAGAAGTCACATTGGGTTGTTACAGAAGTCACCTAAGGCTATTACAGAGAGCTGTTACAGAAGTTATTTAAGGCTGTTACAAAAGTCACCTTAGGCTGTTATAGAAGTCACATACCTAGAGTTGTTATATAAGTCACCTTAAGGCTGTCACAGAAGTCACTTAGGGCTGTCATTGAAGTCACATTAGTGTTATCACTGAAGTTACCTTGGGCTGTTACATAAATTACCTTGGGCTGCCACGAAAGTCACTACTATAGGCTATCACGAAAGTCACTATAGGCTGTTACGGAAGCTACCTGGGGATGTCATGGAAGTCACCTGAGACTGTCGCAAGAGTCACTTAAGTTGACCAAAAAAAATCACTTAAGGTTGTCATAGAAATCACCAGAAAAAAATAAAAAATAAAATAAAATTTTTATAACATAAGTCACCAGTTGACATCAAAGTTATAAACTGTTGGAATGGATGTCATCTAAAGTAACATTCTAGAGAAAAGTTATTTAAAATTAAAATTAAAATTCTTAGGGCAAGTCAACCCAATGTCAAATTCTTAGAACAAAGTTTCTCGAGATAAGATTCTTAAAAAAAAAAAAAAAGTTAGTCTTGATAATAATGTCATGGGAAAATTTAAAAGCTTAAAATTTGTATAACAATAGAAAAGAAAAGAAAAACATGCGTGAGATCAAACTCTTGAAAAATAGAACCACTTGAAATCATATTTTTAAGAAAATCTCCTAATTGTCAGGACAAAAATCAATTTAAGGTCAAGTTCTTAAATAAATAAATAATATATATATATATATATATATTTAATATAAACTTGAAATTGAGTGACCAAAGATAAAGAAACATTTCAGTTAAAACCACGTAAAAAAAATTACATTCTCAAATTAAAGTTCTCTTGATCAAAATCTCAAGAAACCAAATTGTATCAAGAAAATCATGTCTTGATCAAGAACAATTGAAAAATAAACGGTCTAAAACAAATAATAATAATAGATTGAACAAGGTAAAGGTTGTTCACGTTGGATAATTAAAGTTCACGATAGACAATTAAAAAAAAATTGAAATTAAAGTTAGCCTATGTGAAAATTTTTTTTTGACAAGATGCCATAAAAAATAAAAAATAAAACAGTTTGCAAAATAAAAAATAAAAAAATAAAAATTTATTTAAAATGGTGGCCATGAAATTTTATGATCAATCGTTATGGAACAATTATGTTTCACAGTTATTATAAATTTTTTTTAAAGGATTATAATGATATCAACAAGAGAAAACATATTGGGCTACTCCATGTAACGAAAAATATTGTACGTTAATTCATTGGCTTGAATTAAATGAAGAACATTAAGCCTATCAACCATATAAAGAAATATTGGTGAAAAAAAAAAGAACAAATTGAAGGATACTAAACAAGAATAAAATTACCACCAATAAAAACAGAAGAACGAAAAAATCACAAGAGAAAAAAAAAACCAAGTATAAAGAATTAGGACAGGCTAGGCAGCCATGAAAATAAAAAAAAAAAAATAGAACCAAGAACTAGGCAAAGAATTAAATAAATAATAATAAATAATAATAAAACCCCAAGAAGACAAACAATAAAAAAAATGGAGAAAGAAAGAAAAGATGAAACCCTTGTGATTTATGCTATGGCATCTTACTTAATCATTAGTTTTGATTAGGCAAAAATTGTTTGGGATCTAATTTGTGCTCTGTCATGAATGGTTTTGTAAACTAATGGAAAAATACAATAAGCAAAAAGTAATAAAAACTTATACCAACTAAGAAAGTCCCACTTATAGCCTATGAAGAAAAAAAAACGTGAAAACTAAAAAGAAAATACAACATTTTTGATTGAGTTGATGCACTTTAATCAAGACAAAAAAAAATAAATAAAAGCAAGACACCTGATTATGATATCGAACCTGGTATAAATTGCAAATTCGGGTCTATTATCGAATTGAAAGCAATCGCAAATTTTGTTTTGATACTCCTTACCAATAAATATAACTAGAATACAAAAAAAATAATAAATAATAAAAAAAATTGTCAGGAACAACTAAAGCAAAAAAAAAAAAAGAATTAAATAATAAACAAAATAGCACAAGTGAAAGCCTCTGTCGCCAAGCCTATAACGAAATTACCAAGCTATGTATAAACAAGAATTCCTACCATATTACAGAAATTAAATTGCTCATAAACCCTCGCTAATTATAACAACTCAAACACTCACAATCTCAAATATATAGACATTAAGTCTAAGAAATTAAGTAAAAAAAGACTTCTTAATTTAAATTATAGATATATTAGGAGTCCATAAAGATAGAGTCACATATGGAAAATTCTAAGTTTGTGTATTTAGATTAAAAAGGGGACTTAATTACTCTAAGTATACATGAACTGAAAGTCTAAATTTTAGGTCTGTGTTTATGTAGAACAAAATAATTATTATTGACTCTAAGATAGATTAGAACTCCATATTAATAGAGGACTAGAAAATAATAACTAAATTTTATATCTTATTTAGAGTAAAACATGGACTATAATTCCATGTTGATCATGAAAAAATAAATTTATATATATATATATATATATATGTGTGTGTGTGTGTGTGTGTGTGTGTGTGTGTGTGTGTGTATTTAAATTAAATCAAACTCTTTTTAAATTAAAATATAAATTGAGACCCATTTACATATTGATAAAATATCAAATATGCAAATAAATCTCGAGGGGGCATTTGTAGACATCAAAAAATTAAAAAAATTAATGTCTATAATTGAGCTCAAATCGATTAGATAAATAAAATTTGGTTGGACCTAAATTTCATAAACTCAAATGATACAAGTCTAAATTTAATTAAATAAGCTTGAGTTATACCTA